AAATGAGACCCCAGATAAAGAACTTAGGTTGGCAAGGTAAAGGTTTCAAGGAGACTTTATTGTCATTCACATCACATGTGGTACATGTTGTGGAACAAAATTTGTATTCTCACAGTCCTTTGATAATCTCTCAGCATTCTCTCAAAGAATGATTAAAAGTCTGAGTGGACTTTCAATAATCTCTGATTTCTCAACCACTGCTGGACCTTTTCTTATACTGGTCTGGTATCTGTTTATACTTGTTCAAACTTTATCTGTCACATTTTTTGTTACTCGTAATTCTCTGCTGCAGGTCTATGGACTCTGCATGCACACGAGGGCCAAAATATCCAGCTCCACTTCCTGGACTTTGATACTCAGGCAAGCTTTGACATGGTGGAGGTGCGGGATGGGACAGGGCCTGATTCCAACTTACTGGGTGAGAATGCGTTCTGCTGATTAACCTGTACAGGTTGGTTCTTTAGGTGTTAACTTGTAGGTGTTTCTTCCAGCTGTTCTCACTGGCAGCAAAGGCCCCTCCCATGACTTATTCTCAACAGCCAATCAGATGTCAGTATGGTTCTTTACAGACAGTGAATACTACGGCCGTGGATTCAGGGCCAACTTCACCTGTGGGGTTGACCTGGGGTCTCCAGGTAAGCTCATGTGCATTGCTGAGTTTGGTTTGGTTTACTAGATGTGTTAATTAGTGATTTTTGATTGGTTGTGTACAGCTCCATGTGCAGTCGACCAGTTCCAGTGCCAGTCAGGACAATGTATCTTTGGTAGCAGTCATTGTGATGGTGTGGTTGACTGTCTGGATGGGTCAGATGAAGCCAACTGTGGTATGTCACCAACTGATAATACATAAGATCAATCCAACCCAGTACTGCCTGTTTGTGTTCAAATGCTTTCTGTAACCTTTCTACCTTTAGAAACTCTAGGATTCACAAGTAAACCTGTGTCTGACAGTGAATTGGGGGCCTCATGTATCAAAGACTGTTAACTAATTTGGTCCTTGTCATCTAAGAAGGGGATGTGCTCCACATAACTGGGCTTTAAGATGATTGGACAATGGGAGGTCAAGCTTCTCACACAGATAAAAWTATGTACCAGAGAACATGATAGAAACAATGTAATGTTTTCTTTTTTGTGGGATAGCACCCACTCATCCTTATGAATGAATTGCACACAATACAAAAAAACCCAAATTATTCTAGTGTTGGTTATACCAATTAGTTCTGTTCAGCAAGGGGTTGCTCCTTCAGGTGAGAAATCCTTCACTTCATACCTAAATATACGTTTGCACTCAGACTTCAAGGATAAAGCTTACCTTGTCCAAATGTAGTCATCTTTGATTTTAAGTCCAAACTWGTTTACATTTGATGATTCTGTGTGAAATTCTTAAGTGTGCACACTCTTTATTCAAAACGGATTTCACACCTAATACTCAGATGTCTTTGCTGTTTAGTCATTATTTGTTTAATAGTTGGTGTGTGTTTGAGTGGCTTCATCAAGATCATTCATTCATCCACCAAACTGTACTGCTGAAGCTTTGCTTACTTCATATTTATGCTGTTTGGGTAAAACACATTACAGATCAGTTCAAGATGGTCATCCCAAAATCAAAGAGGGGGCTGAATGGTGATTAAACATTTTCAGTTGCTGCCCTCAAACTGTGGAATAGGTTGTCTCTGCAAACCAGACAGGCCAACTCACTTCCTGTTTTCAAATCTACTCTTAAAACATTTTTTCTCCTTGGCTTTTAACTCAACCTGAGATGTTTTCTTAATATTTTTTAGTGTTTTGTTTGTTGTTTTCATGATTTTAATGGCTCATTTTACATAGTTTATTGTTTTTAATGTTTGTTTTTATGTGTTTTTTTCAGTGTACAGCACTTTGGCAAATGGTGTTGTTTTTAAAGTGCATTAAATAAAGTTGTGTTGTATTGTAACTCTACAAGCCCCACCC